AAGTCTCAGTTTTAGATGAAAAAATGTTTAAAGAATCTGTGCTTAAGAAGCCCCTAACACTCCATATGCCCGAGCCTCCCATACCCCCACCACAAAAACAGCCTAAACAACTAATAAATAACTACATCACAATGAAAATGACTAAAGGAGAGTGCTGGAGTACATCAAAGAAGTAACAGAAACGCAGGCGAACACAGGAACTCAGGATAGCCATACAGAGAACTGAAGGAAACACCTGGTCTCCACCACCCCATTCCCCAGCAGGGATCAGATGGGAATTAGGAGGAACTTCTCCCCATGGGGAAAGGCTAGCAAAAGGCAAGCAAAACTATAGTCCTCACTCCAGTAGTGAGGACTATAGTTGTTCAAAGTGTTGATCGGTGTACTGAAGCCCAGCTGAGGGAGCTGCCTATAGTCCACATAGCCGTCTTCCCACAGAGAAGGAGCTGACACTATGCCTTGCACCCTGGGGCCTATGTGGCTACTGCACAATGCCATCTTCAAACTGGAACTACTGTTGGAGTGTTGCTCGGAGGCGAGTACCCACAATATCCCTTCATCTCTGAGGCTAAGCTGCTGCCAAACCACTCTTGCCCAGTGCCCTGACATCCCCGAGCCTAGCTGTGACCAGCTCTTATACCACTCCCTGTGGGCTCAAGCAGTAGTGGAGCTGCTTCATGCACTCCTCCTAGTCCCCACTCACAGCTAGAGCTGAAGCTGCGCACTCATTCCTGGAGAAATGGTGTTCTGGCAGAATCGTTCCATCCCTCAGTCATGTCTGCACCTGCTCTTAGGGGACTGAGCCGAAGCTGCACACTGCCTCTAAGGAAAATGATGGCCTGAAAGAGCTGTTCTAAAAATCTCTCCCAGTCTTTGCTACACCGTGCCTCTCTGGACCAGAACTGAAGCAACACAAGACATTCCAGGTAAATGGGGCTTTGACCAACAAGAGCAGTCATGCCCCTCTGTGTGTGAGCTGAAAAAGTACACAGTCTCTTGGAAAAACAGTACCTTGACCACCAACTGCAGTCATGTCTTCCCAGTGCCTATGCTGAAGCAGTGTCCTACCTCCTAGAAATAGACCAATTATGAGTAACAAAGTGGAATTAGTAATAAAAAGTCTCTCATCAAAGAAAAGCTTAGGACTTGATGACTTCACAGCTGAATTATACCAAACATTCAAAGAAGATCTAATACCAGTTCTTCTCAAACTCTTCCAGAAAATTGAAGAGGAGGGAATTACTCAAAACTCATTCTATGAGGCTAGTGCTACCATGATACAAAAACTAGACAAGAATACAACAGAAAAAGAGAAAATTATACAACAGAAAAAGAAAACTATAGGCCAATATCCCTGATAAAGAGTGATGCAAAAATCCTCAACAAAATGCTACCAAACAGAAAATTCAACAGCACATTACAACACTCATTACCATGATCAAGTGGAATTTATCCCAGGAATACAAGGATAATTCAACATATGCAAATCAATAAATCAGATACATTATATCAACAGAATAAGGGACAAAACTTATGTGATTATCTCAATAGATACACCAAATGCAGTTGATAAAATTCAACATCCTTTGTAATAAAAACTCTCAACGAACTGGGTATAAAAGGAACATGCCTCAACATAATAAAGGTCATATGTCAAACCCATAGCTAACATCATACTGAATGGGGAAAACTGAAAGCTTTTCTTCTAAGAATTGGAACAAGACAAGGATGCCCATTCTCACCACTCTTATTCACCATACTGAATCCTAGTAAGTCCTAGCCAGAACAATTAGGCATGAGAAATAAAGGGCATCCAAATTGGCAAGGAAGAAGTCAAATTGTCCCTATTTGCAGATGACACAATCTTATATATAGAAAAACCTACCAAAAAGCTCTACCAAGAAACACTTAGAACTGATAAAGAATCTCAGCCAAACTGCAGGATACAAAATCAACATATAAAATTCTGTAGCATCTGCATACAGGAACAACAAACAAGACAAATGAGAAAAAAAATAAAACAATGAATTTAAAGAAGTGAAAGACTTTTAGAGAAAAACTATAAAACACTGATAAAAGAAATTGAAGAGGATACACAAAAAAAAGACATCCATGTTCATGCATTATAAAAATGATCATAGTACCAAAAGTGATCTACAGATTCAGTACAATCTCTATGAAAATATTAATGACAATCCTCACAAAAATAGAAAAAAAATCCTAAAATTCATATATAACCACAGAAGAGTCTGAATAGCCAAAGCAATCCTGAGCAAAAGGAACAAAGCTGAAGGCCTCATACAACCTAATTTTCAAATATACTGCAAAGTTATAATAACCAAAATACTGTGGTACTGGCATTAAAAACAGACACATAGACCATGGGAACAGAATAGAGAACCAGAAATGAATCCACCTGTCTTTGTCCATTTGTATATTGCTATAAAGGAATATCTGGGGCTGAGTAATTTATAAAGAAAAGAGGTTTATTTGGTTCACAGTTCTGCAGGCTGTACAAGAAGCATAGGGTCAGCATCTGTTTCTGATGAGGGTCTTAGGAAGCTTCCACTCATGGCAGAAGGCAAAGGGGAGCAGGCATCACATAGCAAAGGGGAGCGAGAGAGAGAGAGTAGAGGAGATACTAGGCTTTTTTCAACAACCAGATATCATGGGAACTAAGAATGAGAACTCACACATTACCATGAGGATGTCACAAAGCCAATCATAAGGAATCTGCTCCCATGAACCAAACACCTGCCTTGAGATCCCACTTTAAACATTTGGGTTCAAATTTCAACTTGAGATTTACAGAGGACAAATATCCAAAGTGTATCTCTACTCATTTATAGTCAACTCATGTTTTACAGAGGTGTCAAGGACATTCACTGGGGAAAGGACAGTCTTTTCAATAAATGGTACTAGAAAAACTGGATATCCATATGTAGAAGAATAAAAGTAGACCTTATCTTTCATCATATACCAAAATCCACTCAAAATGGATTAAAGACTTAAATATAAGACCCAAAACTATAAAACTACTAGAAGAAAATATAAGGAGAATGCTTCTAGACATTGGACTGGGCAAGTTTTTATGAATAAGACCATAAAAGCATAGACAACAAAAGCAAAAATAGACAAATAGAATTATATTGAACTAAAAACCTATATAAGCAAAGGAAACAACAAAGTGAAGAGACAACCAGCAGAAAGAGAAAAAATATTTGCAAACTATTCATCCAACAAAAGATTAATATCCTGAATACACAGGGAATTCAAACAACTAAATAGTAAAAATAAATAAGTAGTCATCAGGAAAATGCAAATCAAACCCACAATATCTTCTCATCCCAGTTAGAATGTCTATTATTAAAAAGTCAAAAAATAACATGGTGAGGATGCAAAGAAAGGAAAACTCTTATATACTGTTGGTAGGAATATAAACTAGTACAGCCATTATGAAACACAGTATGGACTTTTCTCAAAAATGAAATTAGAACTATTATAGGATCTAGCAATTCCACTGCTGGATATATATCCAAAAGAAAAGAAATCAGTATAGTGAAGAGATATCTACATTTACATGTTTATTGCAGCACTATTCACAATAGCCAAGATATGGAATCAACCTAAGTGTCCATCAACAGAAGAAGAGATAAAGAAAATGTGGTACATATATATGATGGAGTACTATCCAGTCATAAAAATGAAATAAATCTTGTCATTCACAGCAACACGGATGAGCTTAGAGGACATTATGCTAAATAAAATAAACCAGGCACAGAAAGACAAATATCACATGTTCGCACTTATATTTGGAAGGTAAAAAAAGTTGGTCTTAAAGAATTAGAGAGTAGAATAGTGGTTACTAGAGGCTGGAAAGGACAGAAGTTCATTAATGGATATAAAATTACAGCTAGATAAGAAAAATAAGTTCCTGGGTTCTACAGCACTGTTTGGTGACTATAATTAATAACAGTTCAAATAGCTGGAAGAGCAGATTTCAACTGTTCCTAACACAAAGAAATGATAAATGTCTGAGATGATGAATATGCTAATTATACTAATTTGATCATTACGCATTGCATACATGTATTAAAATATCACATTGTTCCCCATAAATATGCACAATCATATGTCAATGAAAAAATAATAAATTTAAACATTTTTTAAAGAAATTTGAAGCTGAAAAACCAATGCTAAGTAGTTTTAAGTCGCAGTACGTATAAGCAAATATAATCCCTTTCTGTGGGAATTTACCCTTAATGCAAGTCCCACAAGACACCACAGATTGAGGTAACCCCAAATGAATTCACAGTCTAAAATTACAAAACTCACAGGAAAATAAGGTACCAGAAATAAAGTCAACAGAAAAAACAAACAGCAGAATTATACCTCTATGAACATTAAGTATTAGAAATAACAAGTACAAAATATAAAATAACGATTATCTATTAGAAATAACAAATATAAAATATAAAATAACTGTTTGAAAAATTATAAAGAAGAAACAAAAACAAACCAAATATAATCTCCAGCAAAGAAAAATATAATCACTCAACTTAAAACCAAACAATAAAACAATATTTCTCAACAATATTTTAAACAATTGGAGAAAATGGATTATAAATTGGGCATTAGATGATCATTAAAGTTTGTTAATTTTTATTAGGTATGATAATGGCATTGTGATTATTTAAGATATTAATATTTTTAAAATATGAGTCCTAAAGTATGACATGTTACCTGGAATTTTTTTTTTCAAAATATGTCAGCAAAGAAAAAACAGTAACAAATAAAACAAATGTAGAAAAATGTGAGAAATATTAAATTTAAGTGGTGTGTGTGTATATATGATTTTCATAATAAAAATAAAATGAAAACTCAACTGAGAGTGTAATCAAATGTTAGATAAAGCCAAAGGGAGATTTACAGAATTATTAGACAGATCTGAAGACAGTATCCAAATTATGAATAAAACTTAAAGAGAAAAGAAAACTCACCTTCCTTTGGGCTGACTGCTGCAGGGAGAACATTCCAATCAACAGTCCAAGTAGGGCAAGGGTGGGGAGAAAACATCACTTCAATGCCCTTTTCCTAGAAAAGGAAACAGCCTTTTTCTCAATTAAGGAATTAATATAGTCTTATTATATTCTTGAAGGCTAAAAATTATATTTCTATATTGGTAAGGAGGAGGATAAATAGTAATAATCATCGGCTATTCCCTAAAATACATGTTTTAATTAAATAAAAATACAGTGTGTTGAGTATTTTGACATCACACTATCCTATTTTTTTATATTGAGATAATAAAAAGTAATGCTATTTTAAAATTATTACTAGAAGATCCATAGAAGTAATAAGTTACCTAGAAATATATTGGATATCAAAGAGAAAGTTCAGCTGAAGATGAAAATGTTATCAAAAACAATCCACATAGAAATAATAAAGAACTCTGCATATGTCCATCAAGGTCTCCGTTTACATATATGAAAACCACCACAGCCTAAAAGCTACCACTTTAACACATACCCCAAAACACCACTCATACTAGTCTTTTATAAGCGTCTTTAATGTCACTAGAGAAAAATTTCTCTGGTTTAACCAAATAGTTCCCAATATTTTCAAGAATTAGAACCACTTTTCAATATATTAAAAAAATTGCAGGATCCTTCTCTGTCTTAGAAGCTGTACATTTGTTTATTTGATCTATGTACAGTGGCATGGCATACACATGGATTCACAGATCCCTTCCAATCACATTCCAGGTCCATAGTCCACAGTGTATATCTATATCTATATCTATATCTATATCTATATCTATATCTATATCTATATCTACATCTACATCTATATCTATGTTTAGCTCTCTCCATGGCTCAGTTACTTTTATCTTTAGGAATAACCTATTCAAATAAAAAATCTCTGAGATTCCAGCATTAAATGCTTTGTATCAGTTTATGAGATTATTTTCCATTACAAAAACTAGCTGAATTTGCATCCCAAAGGAAATAGTACAAAGAATCTTTCATTAGGGCTAGAGATATGGCTATTGGTCTACAAGCCCTGTGTACTCATTTGCCTCCAGAAAGATAAACACATCTCTCTGACATCATCTACCTCTCTTCTATCTTCTTCAGTCTAGCCACACTGACTTTCTTGCTATTTCTCATTTCACTAAACTCATTCTTACCTTAGGGTCTTTTAAAAAACACAACTATATTGAGATATAATTTATATATAATACCACACAATTTCTCCTTTTAACGCATCCAATTCAGTGGTTTTTAGAATATTCACAATTCAACCATTGCCACTATCTATTTTAAGATATTTTCATCATTTCATCATTTCCAAAAGAAGTTGCATATCCACTCAAGAGGTGAACCAGAGGTCCCTTGGCAGTGTAGTCATATAATCAAGACACATCAAAATCTAGACATGCCTCAATAACTTCTAAAATCAACTATATAATCATGTTTCATTACTTAATCAATAGGCCACAGAGCTTAGCTGAAGAGTTAAGGAATTGGTATCCTTACCAAAGTCTTCCTGTCCATTTCTAAATCAGTAAACTCTGTTAACTACAGAACTCAATTACTTCCTAACCCAAATAGGGAAATAAAATGAATATTTTTCCAGTGCAACTCGATGGATAACTTAAATTACTTCATGAATTTTCTATTCAAATAAATCTTCACATCACCTATTAAAAGCAAAAATATTTTTGCAGATCATTTCAAATGTTAGGGAAAGGAAAGCCCATTGTTGAAAACTTTACAATTAGTACTACTGAAAACAAACTATGCCCCAGTGAGAAAAAAATAAAGCATATGCTTTTTCTGTTTTTGAAACAGGGTCTAACTCTGTTGCCCAGGCTTGTTATATAACAAAAACATTAAAATCAAAGATTAAAGTAAAAATAAAATTAGAAGAATTCCAAAATTACAAATTTAAACAAAACCTTGGAAAGTAAATTGAGATATTAATCTTTATATTTCTTTTCTTTTTTTTTTTTTTTCCCCGAGGTAAGAGTCTCACTTTGTCGCCCAGGCTGGAGTACAGTGGCACAATCTCGGCTCACTGTAACCTCCACCCTCCGAAGTTCAAGCTATTCTGGTGCCTCAGCCTCCTGAATAGCTGGGACGACAGGCACATGCCACCACACCCAGCTAATTTTTGTAATTTTAGTAGAGACAGGGTTTTGCCATGTTGCCCAGACTGGTCTCGAACTCCTGACCTCAAGTGATAGGCCTGCCTCAGCCTCTCAAAGTGCTGGCATCACAGGTGTAAGCTACTATGTCCAGCCTCATCTTTATATTTCTTTAACTTGAAATCATTATCCAAACTAAAAAAGGCTGAGACCAAAACTTTACAACAGAAAAAGATTATGTTAAAATAGTACACTTGACCAGGTATGATGCTACCTTGGTCAATATCCTGAATATTAAAAGAAAAAAAAAAAGTTTTGAGAAAAATGCTTTTTAAAAGTATATATTGTGACTTACTTGGCTCCAAAAATACATAATACTAAAAGTTTTAAATTTAGTATACTTCACATAAATGAAAAAAGTAGCAGAAATATTAACTGGCAAAGAGTGAAGTAAGAAAGCTACAAATAAAATTTATAAAAAAAAAAGGCAACAAATGATTACAAGTTTGAGCAGAATGCTCAGCAACATTATCATATAGAATTTTTGAAAGAAAATGTTAATAACACAATTAAGTACCATTAACTTGGCCATGGTTGGTCTTGGTCCTCCTATAAATAAAGGATCGCTGTGCTCTTCTACACCCGGGACTTCACTTAAGTTTGGATGCTGCTCAGTTGAGACTGTCAACAACTTTGGTAAATGGAGAAACTGGATCCCACACTTAGAAGCTGCTGTTTTTACTCTTGGCACTTCCTGGATCCTCTGGTACCAAGAGGCTAGCAATGGAAATTCTACCAGCTTCTCAGAAAATTTCTTGCAGATAATTACCTAGGTAGGAAAATAATGAAACACATTATTATGTATCTTTTGTTTGTTTGTAACAGCTGCGTTGAGGTAACTTTACAAACCACAGCATTCACACATCTAAATGTATAGTTCAATGAGTTGTAGTAAATGTATGCAGTAATGCAACCACCTAGTTTTAGTACACTTACGTCACCCCTGAAATTTCCCTTGTGACCATTTGCACTCTATCTGTGCTTCCACAGTCAGTTGCAGACAACCACTGATCAGCTTTCTATGTTTATAGTTTTGCCTTTTCCAGATTTTCATACAAATGGAATCATAAAATGTGGTTTTCCTTTATCACTTAGTATTATGCTTTTGAAGTTAATCCATATAGTTACATTGACCAATTGTTTGTTTTTTATTAAGAGTAGTAGTCATTGTGTGGATATACTGTATTTTCCTTACTCATTCACTTGTTGATAGATATTTGCATTTTCCCGGTTGTTGGCTATTATAAATAATGTTGCTATACATTATAATGTAGCAGTGTTTATGTGGAACTGTTTTTCATTTCTTTGGAAATCTAAGAGTCAAACTGCTAGGTTTTATGGTAACTGTATATTTAACTTTTAAAGAAATTAAAATCTTCTCCACGGTTGCCATTCCATTTTACAATTCCCACTAGCAATCCATGGAGGTTCCAGTATCTCCACAACTTGTCAACACTTGGTATTATCAGTCTGTTTGATTTTAGTCATTCTTGTGGGTATATAGCAGTGTCTCATTGTGATTTTAATTTGCATTTCCCTATGACTAATGATGTTGAGCAACTTTTCATGTGATTATTTGCCATTTGTATATCTTCTTTAGTGATGTGTCTTATATGTTTTTGTGATTAATTTCACAGCATAAAAATTGGAGCAACTCAGCAATGAGAAAACGAACAACACAATTAAAATGAGCAAAAGATCTGAGTAGACAACCAAAAAAGATACACAGATGGCAACTAAGTATATTAAAAAATGCTCATCATCATATATCATTAGAGAATTACAAGTTAAAACAAGGAAATGCAACCACACACCTATCAGAATGGCAAAAATCCAAAACACTGACAACTCCAAATGATGGTGAGCATGTGGAACAACAGGAACTCTCATTCATTGCTGGTGGGAATGAAAAATAGTACAGCCACTTTGAAAGACAGTTTGGCAGTTCCTTACAAAGGTAAATATACTCTTACCATACAATCCAATAATTGTGCTTCAAATGAGTTGAAAATTTATGCCCACACAAAAACCTGAACACAGATGTTAACAGCATCTTTATTCATAATTGCCAAAACTTGGAAGTAACCAAGATGCCCTTCAGTAGATGAATGGATAAACTGTCGTACATCTATACAATGGAAAACAACCATCAATAGAAAAAGAAGAATATAATAATTCCAAAAAGAATCAAAATAAATAACAATGGCATTTGCAAATGTCTATGAATAGTACAATTGAAAATCATTTTGGAAAATTTTACACCTTATATTCAACTGTCTATCATCTTTCATTGGTAGTATGTTTTTAACTCTCTCTAAGAACTCCTCTGTAATCAACTGCATTCCAATCTGGAAACCCTTTCATCTATAATTCATGGCCATGAACACATTCCTCTGTTTCTGACCCTCAGTATACTTGATAAGTTATTAACACACTGCATATAGAGTTAATTGGACAACACTATATCAAAAACCTAAAATCCTTAATATATACTTATGCAAATTAGTTTAAGTGGTTAATGGGGAAAGAATTAAAATCAGTATTAACTTCCTCAACACAAATAATTAACACTTTTAAATTATCACAATTTAATATCTGTAGTCTATAATCATTGGTGTGTTTTGAGGGGTCTCAAAAGAAATTTTTCAGCTTACTGCAGAAGTGTAAAAATGGAGAGCTTGTACTATTAATAGTGATCTAAAGTTCCATTTTTTTGTGTGTGTGAAGCTATCTTCTCTGTATGTGAACTATTAGGCAAAATCTAAATGATATTCCTTACCAATAATGTAAGAAGTATCTTTGAGAACCGTATTTTTAAAAATTACACAATGAGGTAAGGAGAACATTTTACCAAAGAAAATAGTAAAAAGATAAAAGAGAAAATTGTAAATATTTAAAACTAAAAAAGATAACTAGCACTATTTGGAAGACTTTTTTTCAAAAGCAGCACTTAAAGTAATACTTTTATTTTTTCAAATTAGAAAAATTTGAAATTGTTCCTCCTGACACAAACTCATATATTTGTGTTTTCCCTTGGTCAGATGCTTTCTCCCTAGCACTACCACCAAATTCTATTTTCTTTAAAATTTAGAGTGTTCTTGCTTCTTTGAGAGGCAACAAATGTTGTTTCCATAGAAACCACTATGTCACAAACACATTATGACTTATGATTATGAACAGATAGATAAATAAAAAGGTCAAGTCACAGGAAATCTCTACAAATATATCTAGCAGTAATACCAGAGCATGAGACAGAAAGGACAGAAAATTAATAAAAAATTCATACATATATATTATACTGTATTTTATGTGGACTTTAAGATTAAATGAGCACAAGTAATTGATTATAAGAACAAGGACTGTATCTAACTCTCTTTGAATACTGAAGCACTTAAAACACTGCCTTGCAAATAATACCCTGTTGAGTGAATAAACAAATGATAAAGAATCCATTTATTCAGAGAATAATCCCCTCAATATTTTTCAAGCTGCTATTTATCACTCATTTAGGGGTTGTGAAATCAACATAGCAGGTTTTTAAAAAATGAAATAGAAAACATCAGAGTACACATCCCATAAGTTTTTTTGTAATTATTTATATATTTTTTAACATATTATTTAAAGATACACATTTATTTCTACACTTATTCAACTTGTAAAATGTATTACAGTTGTCCCTCAGTATCCATGAAGGATTGGTTTCAGGACCTGTATCAGACACCCAAATCCACGGATACTCATACTCACGTCCTTGATATAAAATGGTGTAGTATTTGCATATAACCTATACACATCCTCTCCTATACTTTAAATCCTAGATTACTTCTAATACCTACTACAATATAAACACTATGCAAATAGTTATTCTGTATTGTTTAGGGGATCATGACAAGAAAAAAGTCGGTACATGTTCAGTAGAGATGCAATTTTTTCCAAATATTTTAAATCTGCGCTTGGTTGAATACGTGAATGCAGAACACATGGATATGGAGGGCCATCGGTATTTACTGAGTTAAAGTAAAAAAAAGTTTGAAAAATACTCTCTAAGGCACCCTGAGAGCCAAAAAGTTTATTAATTCTCTCAAGAATTCTGAATTGCTTGGAAATAGATTAGGTGCTACGGGAACGTATCTTTAGACATGATAATCACACTATAAATGTTCTCTTTTCTTCATCTTTCCTGTACTCGTCTTTTTAGTGACTTATTCTTATTTGTTAGATGTACGCGGCATCTTTCCTTTCTTTTGAAATGAAGTTGCAATTAAATAACAATAATTCATATTTAAAAGAAAGTGAGGAGGTTTACTCTGTGTGACAGGCCACTCCATTTAATCAACATGCCAGGCCACTCTACTAAGATCTAGACAGCTCAGAAGGTACTGAACCAATTCATTACACTCATGAAGATATATTTAAGGAAGTTGCTAATGAAAACTCTGTGAAATGAAAATTAAATTTCTTCATAAGAAATGATTACCAAATAGTTACCTGGCTCATAAGATCAAAACCATTATAAATATCACAGAGTTCTTTAAGGACCAGAAAAAAAAAAGATAATTTATTTTTAAAACAATGGTTTTTTTAAAAAAAGTACAGCTACCAAAGCAAAAATAGTATTTTAGTAACTCTGTAGTTAATTGTCATTAAAGGGCAAAAAAAATTGTCTGAATAAAAAGAGAAGCAAGATGTTGCATCTATTCAAAATATTTCCTCCTTTGCATTCCTTTACAATCACTTATTATATAAAATATTTTGTTATTTTATATCATTTCCTTAGTCATACCTCTTTTTTTGAAAATATACTCACAGATGTTTAGGTGAGCAGTGTAAGCAGAGAAAAAACAGTAAACAACCTATCTAAATGGAAATATAATCCCAGTTCTCCGTTTTTTACTTATAAATTAGAAGTGGTGAGTTAAAGCTAAAAGCTCTTGAGGACCTAATGCATAGGAGAAGACACAGAAAATACAAATTTACCACTAAATAAGTAGCATCTACCATTTTTGCAATATGCCAGCAAAAAGTGAGGTTCCCAATTTTATGCCAATGGGAACACAGGAAGAGGTATTTAGTTTTGCTAAAAAATCAATTTCTAAAAGAGGAATGATTTTACCTAAGCTAATAAAGGGGTGTGTGTGTGTGTGTGTGTGTGTGTGTGTGTGTATTTAAACTCAATTCAAAGCATTAGAAGTTAAAATGTAGAAAATCAAATCATAAGTGTTCAAATTACAAGAAGATTTTATAAAATTATAAAATGCAACCTTTCTGTCTTATAGGAGTACAATAATGTTTTAAATACTTCTACCAAAGTGTATTTGCTTACTAGTACCACTTGAAAAATAACATACAATCTTCTAGTATTGGAACAGTAGGATTTTGCCCTAGTATAGCTATTCATTGCTACTTCTCCCATATGCTTGATATGCTATCTACCAGAAAATTCTAGTAAATGGATTAAAGAGGGGGAAACATGAGTGTACATATTAATTTATTCCTTTTAAATCTATTTCTAAGACTTTTCAGAGGAGAGGGTATCGTCAGGCCCCTTTCTTTAAGAGGTGCTGAGCCATCACGGGTTAACTTTGTAAAGTAATAAAGTATTTTCTGAAAAAAAAGAGCTTGCAGCAGCTTTATACATAATACCTTAGCCCTTCCATGTTTGTCTCTGACTAATTAAAAAAAACAAAACAAAAAAAACACCTCATCCATTCTACTTGTTATTGTTTTCCATCTTTGGTTTTATTCTGTTTATCAGAACTGGGTATTTTCCCTAGTTCTTCTCATTTTGACTCTTAGGAATTCAAACCTTGACTTAGCAAAACTGACTCCTTACTTTTATGTCCTTGACTTTATTCCTGTGACTAAATATTCTGTCCCTAGATTCAGTTTTATGCTTCTGGTAACTTGACCTTGATTACTGATGATGAACTTGATCCTGATTCTGATCATTCGGATGGTCACTCCATTCACCTCAATGTATGTTAATTCAAGCAAAAAGGTTTGCCAACATAACCACTCTATGAATTAAAATGACTTCTTTACTACCCAAGATGATTTAAAGGAGAAAAATATAACAAGTATCAAGGCTTTATCAAAGAAAGATGAATTCCTGAAAATATGAGGTGGGCGGATCACAAGGTCAGGAGTTCAAGACCAGCCTGGCCAACATGGTGAAACCCTGTCTCTAGTTAAAAAACAGAAAAATTAGCTGGGCATGGTGGTGTGCACCTGTAATCCCAGCTACTTGGGAGGCTGAGGCAGGAGAATTGCTTCAACTCAGGAAGCAGAGGTTGCAGTGAGCCAAGTTTATACCACTGCACTCCAGCCTAGGTGACAGAGCAAGACTCCATCTCAAAAAAAAAAAAATCCAGTAAAAATACAAAGGAACGAAGGAAAATATTTCAAGAATTAGTTTACATATTCATATCATTTTAATAAATTTCTTCAATAAAGGAATGGATATGCTACTTTCATTCAATTCTGATGAAACTGGAAACACAGTTATCCAAAGAAGTCAAGAAGACAGAAGACCAAGTATTTCATAATGTATCAAATGACTGCTCTAATGACTGAACTTGGTAATAGAGGAGAGGGATCATAGAGAAGAGAATCTAGAAATCATTTGACTAGGAAAAAATTTAAAAATCAATGTCTTCTTCCCACTCAACTCTGTGGACTCTATTAAATTATGACATTTGGCATTTAAAATACCAATCAACATCTAAACAATTCCTGGATCTCCCTATTTTTACATTGTTTTGGTTGCCAAGTTTGGTTCAATTTTGAGGAGAAGAGAAATGTTCTTTAAGAAAATAACAATTGATCAATACTGCCTAATTTACTTGTGAAGCAAAGCCTTCAAATACATAGATTTTCAATAGAAGTCTCTTCTGTCAAAAGATACCTGAATTGTTGGTGATATATAATGAGAATGAAATCTAATATCTGATTCCTTAGTAGGGAAAAGGGGGAAATGCTTCCAAGAAAAAAAACAAAACAAAAGCAAAAAGCAATGCAACTCTTGAAAACCAATTAGAAGGCTGCAGAGAGCTATGCTTCCTATGTTCACTCTGGTATTATTTTCACCCTGTTCTTTTTTCCTGCACAGAGGGAATGTGTGTGTGCATGTCCGTGTGTGTGTGTGTGTGTGTGTGTAAGACAGAGAGAAAGAGAGAGAGACAGAGATCTTCCTACTCAGAAAACTTTCTATCCTCCCCCAGCACATAATAACAGAGCCAGCTACTTTAATCTCAGAGAGAACGGAGAAGCATACAGGTCAGAATAAAATATTTTCAATTTGATAATACCTAATATAAGATTAATTTAAGTGACTAATAATTATAAAATTTAGCTGACAAGATTTTTAGTTTTTGTTTTTTTTTAACTGGATCCTCTAATAGTAGAAGTCCAACGGACTATCCATGGTACCACAGAGCCGACTTGGACCTTCTAATATTAGAAAGTAATCACAATAGAAACTTGAAGTTAATAATAACAACTGTTAACATTTTAGCAATTTCACATTAAAAGTCATAATAATTACTAACATTGACTGACAGCTTACTATGTGCCAAGCACTGTTCTCCATACTTCACACAAACTTTAATTTGTTCCTTACATTTTTCCTCTTAGATAGGTACATTATCTCCATTTTACAGATAAGAAAATGGAGAAAGATGTTAATAACTTGTCCAGCAGCATACTGGCAATAAGAATTAGAATAAAAATTCAAACCTAGGCAATTTCATAGACCGAAACTCATAGTAATGTGTACAGTCCAGATGAAACCTTACCAAGAAATGGTGGATACAGGGCAAGAGCACGATATCTGCCAGAGTGAAGTAAAGCCCTTCTGCAAACACATGCTCCAGAGGTGGAAGGTCGGAGGCTTTTGCTTTTCTGATGTGAGAAGGCTCTCTGTTGGTAGTAGCTGGTTCTTCTTGCACTGTGAGCTTTGAGAATGCCACTTTCAGTTCCAGACTCTCAGATGCAGAGTCCAACTCTTCAGATGTTTCCTGCGTGTGGACCTCGCTCTTTGCCTTTCCCTTAGTAAGGGGAGGCCCAACTCCATCAGCTTTCTGTTGCTTGAGTTTCTGCCTGCGGAGTTTATCATCATTATGCACTCTAACAGGCTCACTAAGCTTTTTCTCTAGCTGTAGTATTTCTACAGGTATAGTTGGGGGCTGGTCAGAAGACTCTCTGAGAAAATTCTCAATAGCCAAAGGGATGGTGAGTTCACATAGCCTGGTCCACTGACTAACCTACAAAACAAAAACAAAACAAGAAATGAAAGGATTTTTTAATTTCAACATAACTTGAGAAAAAATAACCATCCTATTGGGAAATAAGTTTTGGGCTAAATCATCCCTGGGTTAGGCTTTTATGTTACATCAGGAGACACATCACGGTGTTTTAAAAGTAAAAACATTAAGCAAAAGAGGTTTAGCATTCCTGTATTCCCCTTACTAAATAAATCATTACTTCTTAAAGCCTTAAAAATATACCTCCCCTGTCCTGTCATTCTCCTAGATCCTACAATAAGCAGGACTTCCAAAGCATTACTATTTGAGTTCCTATTTATATGTAAACATTCTGTTTAAAAATCAACATAACTAAAATAAAGAAAAAAAAGTTATTTTCTAAAAATGTCTCCAAACTTTATAAATTAAGTCTTAATTCTTATTTTTCAATACTGCACTGAAATATTGGCACACGTAAAGGGTGTATTAGCCCATTTTGCATTGCTGTAAAGGAATAGGTGAGGCTGAGTAATTTATAAAGTGAAGAGGTTTATTTGGCTCATGGTTCTGCAGACTATACAAGAAGCATCTGCTTCTGGTCAGGACCTCAAGAAGCTTTTAGTCATGGTAGAAGGCAAAGAGAAAGCAGGTGTGTCGCATGGGGAGAGAGGGTGCAAGAGAGAGCAAGGAGGAGGTACCAGACGCTTTTCAACAGCTAGATCTCTAGTGAACTAACAGAGCAAGAACTCACTCATTACCCCAGTGAGCACCAAGTCATTTATAAGGCATCTGCCCCCATGACGCAAACACCTCCTACCAAGTCCCACCCCCAACAATATTGGGGATCACATTTCAACATGAAATTTGGAGGGGATAAATATTCAAACTATATCAAAGGGCTACCTTATTTCATTGGTTACTGTGGTTTTTTAAAATAAACTTTTATTTCTAATAGGAAGTTAAAATATTAAATGGTCAAGTAATTATGTTATCACTCTATAGCTTCAAATAACAGAAAAGAGACATTATACTTACTTCAGCACAGGCTTTCAAGCAAGTCTTTTTAAAGCCCAGAAGTTCCAAAAGTTCCTTCTTTAAGGGGTCTGCTTCATAGGACTTCTGGATTATGTGCCTCAATACAACGGCAAGTCCTGCTCTACAAAAATTGTCTGATCGTTCTACTACTGCAGGCAAACAGCAATTCTGGACTATTGGTGGGAGCTCTTGCCTTGAAATAATCTGTATTTCAACATCCTGGATCAGATCATCTCTTAGTAGTGAACTATCTGTACTCACTTCTTTGGTGACGACTAAGCAAATTTTAAAGATTTTACAGTCACAGTAAGATAACAGAAATAAAGTTACAGATGTATGAAGAGGAAAGATGCATCCTTTTGTTTGGTGAGAAAAGTCCAGATATAGGTATTCTTCTTCTGTAAGACTTTTCTTTATGGCTTTCATTTTCTTCTTTCATTGAGTCACCTAAAGTATAAATTGTAATGATTATGGTCTTAGAATATAATCATTTAGAAGCTAAAAGTGAATGTTTCAAAAGCCTGTTCTAGAAATCAGCAAAAATTTGCAGTAGATAATAATGCTATAAGGTTTGTTTCTGAAGACTGACTAAATGACTTCCAAAAGAAAAAACTCCACCCTTTGCAATTGACTAGCATTAGAAGAAATTTTACAACAGCTCCTTTAAAATGAGCAAACCCCAGTGCTTCCCAATAGAGCCCTCCCAATCAAGTACTTTGGGGTCTCACTATAGGTGAGAACAGGAGATAAACAGAAGGGGAAATAAATTAACCAAGAATACTGAGAGCTGTCTGGGGATAATATCCTTGAGAAGTTTTGCCAGTGCTGGTCCTTCCATACTGCTTCTTTTTTATGACCCTACAAAATCATAGGGAGGGGACATTCATTCTTTTAGGAGAAGTAGATTCTACTCAAGTGATAGCTGCTGAGTGCTAAATCATAATATAAAAATATTTAAATTTCCCCATAACATGGATAGTGAGAGCTGAGATATCTTAAAGTTAACATGTCCAAAATCTAGTTCCTTATTCTCTCCCACCCTCAAACCTGCTCCTTATGTGTCTTCCCCATCTCAGTTTACACCGTTCTTTTCCTTTACACCCCCATAACGAAACCCTCCAAGGTCTTCCCATTCTCCTTAGAGAAAAGCCAAAGTTTCTACAACAGCCTACAAAAATCTCTTTGATCTAGTCCTCTTTTATGTCTCTGAGTTTGTCTCATTAACTCTCTTCATTGCTCACTGTTCCAGCCAAAGTAGACTGTTATTCCTCTAAAACAGCCATCTCCAACATTATTGGCACCACGGACCACTTTCATGAAAGACAATTTTTCCATGAGGGGTTGGTAGGGGGATGGGGATGGTTTCCGGATGAAACCTCAGATCATCAGGCATTAGATTCTCATAAGGAATGTTCAACCTAGATTCCTCCTGCGTGCAGTTAATAGGGTTGGAGCACCTATAAGAATCTAACGTCATTGCTGATCTGACAGGAGACGACATTTAGGCAGTAACGCTGGCTTACTGCAGCTCACCTCCCACTTTGAGGTGGGGTTCCTAACAGGCCCCAGACGGGTACTAGTCCTGGGCCCTGGGTTGGGGGACCCCTGCTAAAACACTAGGTACATTCCCACATCAGGGCCTTTGCACTTGGTGTTTCCAGTACCTAGAACACTTCCTCACTTCCTTCAGGTATTTATTTATTCAATGGCAACTTCTTACTGAGATCCTCCCTGACTACTCAATTTAAATCACAAACCCCAGTCCCCACGCTTCCTGAAAAAAACCTTTGTATTTCCATCTATGCTTTTTCTCCATAGCGCTTATTGCTATGGTGATATACCATATTTCATTATTTGTCTCCCACAACTAGAATGTTCCATGAGTAAAAATTTTTTGTTCACTGCTTTATATGCTTATTATATATATAAGCAAGCAGTATTTGACAAATGAAAGCAGAGATAAATATACACATTGGTTAAAGGTGCAAACACACACAGTCTTGAGATCAGATTCTTCATGGCTATTTTCAAGTCATATTCCTTAAGTTTTTATCAATTGTCCTGTCTTTTTATGTTTACACATTTCCTGGGTCAAAAATTCCCAATGTTCTAATCCATAAATTACAATTATTCCAAAACTGACACTAGATGGCACTCTTTAAAAGCATTCATCATGGATATATGTACCAGAAACATGACATATTAGAAGGAAAATTACTTTAAAAGCTTTTAAAAAGTACACATGCACCTCTCGTCTTTTAAGTGTATTCAAAATGTTAGTGTACACTTAATTTTAGAAAACCATCATACTAAATTTTCTTTAATATTTTAAATTCCTTTTTTAAAAAAATCTGAAACAAAACCTGAACACTTCAAGCCTCTTAGTTCTTCATTCTTTAAAAGCGAATAACTTATAATCCATTATAAAAAAGAAATATAGTTAGTAAAGTATTATAAAGTTTCTTAATAATACAAATAATCACTACTGCTTTATTTTATATTTATTCTATTAAAATGTAACAGATACATACCATGATTTGTTACTTCTTAAAAGATTATCTGGGGCAAAATTATTTTACGTACTGTAAAAGGAACAACTTTTTAACTTACAGATGCCATTTTCTCCCTGAGCTTATTTTTTAAAATTTTTGTCACCGAGAGATAATTTTTAAACAAAAAGGTATTTATTAAAGATCAAAGGTATTTATTAAAGATCAAAGGTTTGTTTTGTTTTGTTTTTTAAATAAAGCTGAATAGAGCTCTGGAAACATTTTCATTATTAATATAACACCTTTATGCTATGAGTCCTTAAAAACAGTCAAACAAAGTGAGATCTGTAACAACACTAGGGCAAAAAGAACCAACCACACTTTCCAGGAATTAACAGTCTTTATGAGGAATTTGCTCTGGACTCACTCTCCTGCCAGTAGGATAATAAAAAGAAGAATGACTGATCCGTAAGTGTTTCAAGAAAGCAGATTTGAAAGAAAACATGACTGATTTCATCATTTGCCCAGCAGTCTAAAAAACAGTAATTATAAGCCTCATCATAACACTTTTTAAAAACTGGAAACAAAGCCATGCTATTTAATAGCTTTTAAGATGTGTAGAAATATATTTTTTAAAAAGTACAAATTTGCCACGTTGCAAGGCACATAAGAATATGACAATAGGGTTTTAGACATATTCTATAAACTCTTCTCATTGTTAGCACTTAAAATGCTAAATGTCAGCAAAACAGAATAGCAGTAACTTGCCCATGGTGATATCTAAAAATTAATGAGATGCCTGAGAGACAATGCAACAAAGTACTGTTGATTCTTAACGTATTTTCTTAAAAATATAGATGTTGGTTTTCCCCCTGGGAGATTAAAAATGTTACTTAATGATCTTAGAGTAAAAAAATAAAAAATTACTCTCCTTGAATAATGTTTCCCTATTATGTACTAATATAATTTTTAAAATAAATATTATTTAGTAAACCTGTACAAATGTGATGTTTTTGGCTTGCACTGTGCCTTTTTAGAGAGAAGAACCACTATTTGCTCCAAGTATGCAAATATCACAGACAAAAAAAAAAAAAAAAAATCCCTCTTCTTTTTTCTTTCCTAGCTTGAGAATGCCTTAGTTCATTCATTTTACGTCATGATCTTTAAGAAGGTAGGTACTATAGACTCAACTTCTGTCTCTAGGGCTTCTGGGGCATAGCTCTTGTTACTCCATATTACATTCTTGCCAAGCACAGAAATAGAGTAATTTGCTCTTTCTCAGCTTTGACAGGTGCCACTCTCCAGAGAGGGAGTGAGAAAGTAGCAGACAAAACCACAAACTTCAGGATATTAAATAGAGTGTGCATCTCTTTCCCGGACATGCCAGTTTGCTTGGGAATCTTGGTGAATTAATAAGTAGGTAAAAAGAAAAGATTATGGCTTTGATTTCATTACTCAGGAAAGTTCTAATATATTTTTAAATGGTGGAATTAGTCATAGGTTTAATATTTAGGCATTCAGAATTTTTTTTTTTTTGCACTTTCATTCTAATGAATATATCTTAGCCTTGATAAAACACAGAGAATGAGAGAGACAAACAGTAAACTATTAAAAATAAGCATACTTCTCCACAGTCCAGAAAAAACAAAGCTTGAAAATTTTGTGATCAAAATTCAAGTCAAGATCTATGGCATTATGTACAACATTATATATTAGATAAATTATATATTATATAATGAAGACCAAAAAGTGCATAATCGCTGCAAATTATCAACCTGTGTTTTGTTTTTTGTTTTTTCAAATAAGTTATCTTTGTGACAATTTGATAGGAGCTCAATAAATGTTAGGTAAATAAAGTTTTAAATAGTACATACATTTTATCATCTACCTACTATGTGCTGAGCACACAGAACATGTGCATTACTTCCAAAGCTCACAATCCTTAAAAGTATTTTATTTCCATTATAGAGATGAGAATTGTACATCAGTCCAAAAGTATTAATTAAATTTATAAAAGATCTTATTTAGAGACATTTAAGAATAGGTATTGTTCTAATATAATAGTACTATTTATAAATAAAATTTCATAAATTGAAGCAATTTTACCAAAGTGAAAATCATCAGATATTATGTTATTCTAAGCAAGTATGCTGGTCTCAGTAATCCTTGATATAAACTTCCATCCCTGGGTTATTTGACAAGTTTCTGCACTGGATTAAATCCTTTGGCAATTCTTTCCTGATTCCTTTTATTGGCTACTCTGCAGATGGCTCAGTGACCCACAGCTCAGTGTTTTGCCCTCTTCTCAATCCACACTCCATCCTTTGAATACTGGTTTTCACACTTGTGATCATGCCACACAATTAGTTACACATTTTATAATGTAACACACAATACACTGAATAAAATGGAAACAAAAATGTCATGAAGCAATACTTATCCTACTGTATGGGATAAATCTGATATTTTTTCCTCTGTGCTTGTTTTTTTAAATGCTGGTTGTTACTCATTACATTGATTTCCTGACTCATTAATGGGGCACAACTCACAATATGACAGCACTGTTCTGGGTGATCTCCAGTGCCATAGCTTTAAATATTATCTGACTCTTACATGTATATCCCAGCCATATCTTCTCCCCTAACTTCAGACTCCTGTATTCTACCTGACATCTCCATGTGGATGTTTTTCTAAATCTGCTCCTCTTCCCTTAGTGTTCTACTTCCTGGTAAAATGGGAACACCAATCAACCAGATGCTCAGGCCAAAAACTCAAAAGTCCCACTCAACTTCTTTTCTTCTCTCTCTCAGACCCTGCCATCTCTACCTTTGAAGTATACGCTAAATCCAACTCCTTAGCACCTCTACCACTACCACCTTAATCTAAGTCATCACCAGTGCTTACAAGGACTACTGCAAAAGCCTATTAACTGTTTTCCTCCACTTGCCATAAAACAGTCCATTCTCCAACAACAGGATGATCCTTAAAAACATAAATCAGATGTCTCCTGCTCAAAACCATCCAGTGGCTCTTCAGCACACTCAGAATAAAATCCAAATTTCCTATTATGGCCTATAGGCCTACTGTGACCCTAGCTATCCCTTTCTGACCTCATCTCTTATCCTTCTTCACTCCCTTCCAGCCACAGTTGTCCTTGCTGTTTTTGGAAGGTGCCAGAAATGCTCCCACTTGAGAATTTTTGTAGTTGCTATTTCTTTGCCTAGAATGCTTTTCTCCAAGAGATTCACATGGCTTGCTCCCTCATTTCATTGATTTATCTGCATAAATATTAACTCAGAACAGCCTCTCCTGACTGCCTGAATTGAAAAAGCACTCCCTAGCCTCTCACCTAGCGTCCCTTTTTCTTCATAGCTCTTATCACCTAACACTATAATATCTCCAGTGTTTAATGAACTCAAACTTTAGTTCAAGGAATGAATGTGCATACATGAATGTTAGAAATCACTGTCTGAGAGTATTGTTAATAACTTTATTCTTGGTACAACATGAATTTCGTTCTTCATGACACCATTCTTTCTTTTCCAAATTAATAAATCTATTTTAAGGATCAACTAAGTATAAATTAAAATGAAGAAATAAGATCACCTTTATGAGGTGAATTGGGAAAAATATAAATGGAATCTAACCAAACTCATAAATAAAGCAAGCACAGAAGTTTTTATGTATACTTAAATCCAGGGCAAAGGAACTAAGAATCTTAACTAGACTTCATACATGTGCCTAGCGAGAATATATAAAACAACAATTATAAAGTAATAGATTAGAGCCAAGACTGTTGAGCCAGACTACCTGGGTGCAAATATCCTGGTTCTGATTCTTAGTAGCTATAAAAAACTTTTCTGCATATCTGTTTCTTCACTTATAAAATGGAGACAATAACTGTACCTACCATGTAGTGTGCTGTACAGAACAAAGCTTGTCACATATTAAGTCCTTAAATAAATACTAGCTACTATTATTTCTTTATAATTTATAAGCAAATTCCTTACCAATTGGCACTATTAAAATATGCAAACTTTGGGCCAGGTGCGGTCGCTCACACCTGTAATCCCAGCACTTTGGGAGGCCGGGGCTGATCACCTGAGGTCAGGAGTTCGAGACCAGACTGACTAACATGGAGAAACCCCGTCTCTACTAAAAATACAAAAAAAAATCAGCCAGGCGTGGTGGGGCATGCCTGTATTCCCAGCTACTCGGGAGGCTGAGGCAGGAGAATTGCTTGAACCTGGGAGGGAGAGGTTGCGGCGAGCCGAGATGGTGCCATTGCGCTCCAGCCTGGGCAACATGGGGAAAACTCCATCTCAAAAACAAAACAAAACAAAACAAACAAACAAACAAAAAAAAAACAAAAAAAAATGCAAACTTTGATGGGCAAAACCCAAATTATGCTTTATATTTTCAAGCGTCTTTCCATGAAAGGTAAGGGATTTATATTGATTGAAAAGTTTTTCCCACCCAAACACTGAAAAAACATAGTTATTACTGAGACTGAAAGCCAGGGAATCATGAAAGGTAAAATATAAATGTGAAACCCGTAATCCATGTGCATACTAACCCATTGTACAAAATAAGAAGTTCAACACAGTTTATAAGTATGAAAAATCACAAACTGTTTTCTTAAAGATTAAAATTTAAACCTGCTAAAAATTCTCTCCTACATCATATGTTCAATATTTTGAATTTTATAACTTAGCTTTGGTTTTATGTTTTTCATAAAACAACACTATTTGGTTGAATATTGCACCCTATTTTATTACAATAGCATAGATTTAACCAAAAAAAACCAACAACAACAAAAAAAAGCTTGCCCCTCAACAGATAGCAGCCAATTACCTTAAATATTTAAAGTCAAAAAAGATAAGAAAAAAACTGAGATTTTTTCAAGCTCATTAAATATGTAATATGGGATGCAGTTAAGTCCTAGAGAACAAAAGCCAATGATTAAAATTAGCTGTTTTCTTATCTGGTAAAGAAGTAGGAAAAAAGTTTTTAAGTGAAAAGCTTACTGTAACCTTAGCCATAAACAAAGGGTGTAATCTTCTCTCTGGAGAATCAGGGAATCATCTGTTGCCATGGAGCCATAATGCCTGCAGCTAAACCAGACCTCATAATTAACAGTGATCCACAGCGCAAATGGCTAACATCAAGTACGAAATAAAATTACTTAATTTTCACAGCAAACAATACCTGTGCTTGTTTTAATGTACATGGTTTAAATATCTGCATTCCAAGTGTTCCAATATTCTGCATAACAGAATTCCATAAACTACATTAAATACCTTAGAATAAACACACATACACCAGGGAACCGTGTATACTACAGATGTATTAGTTAGCTGGCTCCAGAATTTGTTAATTTTGAGGGCTGCTAAATTGTTGCTATTAGAAAGGCTAATTGGATATTCAGTATTTATTCTTTGTTAGAAAAGCTAATTGGATACTCAGTATCTATTTTTGTTTAAAAATCACAGATGATACAAAAGCTACAAGTAAAACAAATTTAAAAAAGCAAAAACAGGCCGGGCGCGGTGGCCCACGCCCGTAATCCCAGCACTTTGGGAGGCCGAGGCGGGCGGATCATTTGAGGTCAGGAGTTTGAGACCAGCCTGGCCAACATGGTGAAACTCCGCCTCTACTAAAAATACAAAAATAAGCCGGGTGTGATGGTGGGCGCCTGTAATCCCAGCTACTCAGGAGGCTGAGGCAGAAGAATTGCTTGAGCCCGGGAGGCGGATGTTGCAGTGAGGAGAGATCAGGCCATTGCACTCCATCCCCAGGTGACTGAGAGAGACTCCGTCTCAAAACAAAACAAAACAAAACAAAAACTTGATGGGCCCACTACTAGAGACGCTCAAGTTTGAGCTCTGTTTAAATTAAAGCAAAAAAAAAAAAAAAAAAGTGCAAAATATATAAAATAAAAAGAACTGATAAGATGACTCTCAAATCTCATTGACCTTTTCAGTCTTATTTTTGAAGTGAGGCCTCACAAAATGATACCTACAGGTGTAATACACGATTTTTAGTAATGAGTATGCTTAAAGCAATCCTCTCAGTGGTGTGTGCCCCCAATCAGGCAGTTTTTTTTTTAAACCCACATAGCTTAATGTTTGATTTATTAAATATGACAGCGAATCATTTAGTTGTGTTATAACAGTTTATTATCATGGATTTAAATAACCATGTTTACATGTTGAAAATGATCACATCACTAGTTCTTGCTAGCTTTTGCCTTTTCTCCTGTAAACACTGCTTTTACCGATAAGCTTAGATAAAACAGAAATACACCACCTTCTTTAACAATAATGTAGCACACGATATATTACTAAGGCTGGCATTTTCTTGATATTCAAGACTTTATGACAAGGAATGGGATCCTGGCATTAAGAATAAAGAGGAAAAAAACAAGTCATCTAATCCCAAAACCAGGTGGAAAGTTGGGATGGAAGTACGTGTATTAGCAAACGTTTTTGAAGCCAAAGCAATTTTCATGCAAGTTAAACTTTCCACAGAAGTTAAAAACCGAAGAGATACCGCTGTGATGACAAAACATAAGCAAATGGCCCAAAATGAGGCAAGTCCTTTGGAGTAAATGTTAGGTAGTATTCACATAGAACTGCTTTCTGCAATTAGGAAGGGCTGGAATGGAAAACTCAATGCCAAAGAGAGAAGAGAAGTTAAAAGTGTGACCCAAGAGGTCTGAAATTACACTTAACAGCAAACATCAAACCACTCCCACCAACGCCTCCAACTGGAAGCTGTCCCATTTCTCCAGCAGAGGAAGACACGAGGGATTGGCTAGGGGGAAACTGGGAAACGCGTACTACTGAGGAGCCCAGAGCCCTCAACCCGCACCTTCAGCAGGAGTGGCCAAAAAGGAGTTTGAGGCGGCCCCAGGGCTGGAGGAAAATCAGGACGATGATACCACGCCCTTATCCTTCCCACCCTTCCCCCACATCCTCAGCCCTATAGACCTCCGAAGAAAAGAGCGGTCCTTAGGGGGTCGCGGAGGCTGAGAAGCCGGCGGCCCGAGCGCCCTCTTTACCTGGTCGCAGAGGCGCGGCCAGGCAGGTAGGGTGCGTGAGCGTGTCGGCGACCTGGGCCGCCTGCGCCTTCCCGCCCAGCCCGAGCTGGAATTCCCAGGCTGCCTCTGGGAGCTGCTGCCCGCAGACCACTCGCTTCCACAGAGGCCAGGAGAAAAACGACAGACAGCTAGTTTATCTGGAAAATACTCCCGCCGGCCGTCATTCATAATCCGGCGGACCGGAAAAAGGGAAGTAACGTCACTTCCTACTGTCGCACTGCCAAACGTTTCCCCCGCCCCTACTGTGGGAACCTTTGTTTTTCTGCTTTCGGAGCCGACCAGTGTGGGGACCGTTTCCGAAGGGACCACCGGGAACAGACGGATCGGCAGGGCGGGGCGGAACGGTGAGTTGTGCTGAGCGACTTTGCTCCCGGCCGCCTCCTGGAGGCTCGAGACCCCCCGCTAGGAGCGAGGTGGGAGAGTAGCTACGTGGGGTATTAGTTTCCTCGCTCCTCAAGCGGAATCATAACCTACGGGCGGTTGCGTTCCCTAGACTGACTGCTGTCCCCTTTCAGTGAGGACTGTGCTTCCTCCGAGGGAGTTGCGGGCCGGGGCATGCGGACCGAGGATATTTCTAGGTCTAGGGACAAGGGACTTGGAATCCTGCCTCGGACTTTGTCGGAGGGTTTTAGTCACTTCTCTACGTAGCTCCCTCATTGTCTCTCATCTTTTAGCTCCCCTGTCAAGGACCATCCCCCATTCTAGGCCTTCGATGTGTGATGCTTTGATCAAAGGATTGACATTCTTTTTCTAAGTGTTTGCTGTCAGCTTTCAGTCACTTGATTGGTTTGGAATCGGAGCCTTTTCTCCTGCGATTCCAGGTGTCCCTAAGGTATCATTGTTACCCAGAACCAAGAACTCTGGAGGAATGAAAAAGGCAGCATCTTTAAAAGAATGTTTATTGGAAGGTGTTGCAAGAGTTTGCGAAGTCATGAAGAACAAAGTTTTTTAGAGCCATTATGAAATGGCAACGGTAGTACTGCACTCTGTGTGCATAAATTCGGTTTCCTTCATCTGGGGCACATGCATATGATCAACTTTGGACTTCTTTTGAGATTGCCAGGTAGGGTGAAAAATGGATCTGGGAGAAAGCACATACTTACATTTATATATGAATGCCCAATTCAGGTTGGAGAAATCACAGAAGCCTTATAAGGTGACATTTACCCAAAAAACCTAGTTCATTCATTGGGTAAATATTTTTGAGCCCTTATTAAGTTTCAAGCACTAAGGAAATACAGTGAACAAAACAAGTTCCTGCTCTCATCAAGTTTACAGGCCAGTAGGATTAATGAATTTAAGCAAGCTAGGTGAAAGAGTATGAGAGTTTTACAAATAGGAACATTGTACTACAAGTCTCCAGTCATGAAAGAGGTGATTGCTTTGCTTTTGCTTTTTTGATGTTTGGAGTTTTTTTGTGGGGGCAGGGGTGAGTTATTTTTGTGATTTCTGCTGAAGGGACCTTGGAAATGGCTACAGTTGTATAGAAGGAGAGATAAGACCACTATATTTTGATCACTTAATTCCAGTAATTCTATAGCCATTATTTTGTGGTACTTTGCAAAGTAGCAAAGGGATAGGCAAAAGCATAAATATAGACTCTGCCCTTAAAGTACTCAGAGTTTTGTAGGGCACATAACACTTGTGCCAAAAAAAAAAAAAAAAAATACTTCAAGGGAGAAAGTTGCACTACCATGAAAAAGCACTATGAGATATCCTTGAAGGGAGAGACTATTAATAGAGTTTGGAATGGAGAGGGGCACAGCAACTGTCAGTCAAGTCTTCATGAGAAGTATTTGAACAGGGTCTTGATAGGATGTAGATATATAAAAATAGGTAAAGAGCTTCCCAGACAAAAAATTTTAAAAAAAGAGAGGTAGGGCCAGCTAGCTATAAGGCAGATCTGGGGATGATGAATGATAATTTTTGTGCCAATTACTGAATCGTCTTAAATGCTAGGCCAAGAAATGTGGACTTTATTTTGAAGGGGGTGGAAAGCCCTAACTTCTCAGCAAGAATTTTTTTTTATTTGAATGAAAAGGAAGAAAACTGGATTTCAGGAAAATTTGTATGGCAACAAAATTGAAGTCAAGGAAAATAACGAGGTTATTGTCATAGTTCAAGTAAGCTAATAAAACCTGAATTTCATTAGTAGCAGTGAAAGTGAAAAGTAGGGCAAGTGTGAAAAATATCGCAGAATCCACAGAAAAGGCCTGCTGATTATTTGAATATAAGGAGTAGGGAAAGACTCAGTGAAGGAAAGACTTTGGTCTCAAACCTGACTAAAAGTAAGTTATGTCATTTATTGAAAGAGCAGGACAAGGAACTTTTCGGGAGGATAATCAGAATCTCAATTTTAGTTGTAACTGAATTGGAGACGCCTTTAAGGAACCAGATAGACACATACACTAAGCATTTGGAAACACGAGATTCAAATTTAAGAGATTTGGCTTGTACTTGTAATCCTAGCAATTTGGGAAGCCACAACAGGAGGATTGTTTTAGCCCAGGAGTTTGAGACCAGATGAGAGCAACATAGCAAGACCCTGTCGCTACCTAAAAAACAACAAAATTAACTGGGCATGGGTATGGTGGTACATGCCTGTAGTCCTAGCTGGTTGGTAGGCTGAGGCAGAAGGATCGCTTGAGCCCCAGAGTTTGAGGCTGCAGTGAGCCATGATCTCGGTGCACTCTAACCTGGGCAAGACCATGTCTCAAAAAAAAACAAAAAAAAAAAAGCGAGAGAGAGAGATTGGAGTTGGGGTAAAACATATTAAATCATCTACCCAGAGATGATAGTTGAAAAACTGATGTGTATAAGATTACCAAGAAGAAACTGCTAGTAGAACTAAGAAGATAGCCAAGGACAAACACTTGAACAATACCAAAAGCAACAAGCATCAGAAGACAAACCAGAGAAAGAGTAGTCAGAGATAGAAGAGGAAAAACAGAAAAGTTGAGTGTAACAGAACTCAAGGGAGGAGAAAGTTTTATGAAATTGGAAGTAGATAACAAGTATTTACTTGGCCAACATTTACTGTTATTTGCTGTTTTCCAGGAACTCTGCCAGACAGGGGTTACAGCAGTAGGCAAGACCAATCCACTGCCTGCCTTCATGGAACTTACATTCTGATGAGAAAGAAAGATTATATACATAATTAACAGTGTGATTAATATTATAAATAAGTACAGAATGTTTTTGGACTATGTAACAGTAAACGAAACTTCAACAGTTTTGTTGAAGGAATGTGCAGGAAAAACAGAAACTTGAGAGGTGACCTAAGATGGAGGTGGGGGTGGCACACTTTCTAATGAAGTACTAAGGTAAGAAAGAGTATATTGGAGGGCTTGAAATAAGTCATATAGCTGTAAAAGAGAGTGAGAATGGCCTGAGATACTAGGTAACATTTAATGAGTGTGAACTATGTGCCAGGTACTGTTGTAACCGCTTTATATGTATTATCAGATCATGTAGAGCAATGGTCCCCAACCTTTTTGGCACCAGGGACCAGTTTCATTGAAGACATGGTTTCAGGATGATTCAAGTGCATTACATTTACTATGCACTTTATTTCTCTTATTAGTACATTGTAAGATATAATAAAATAATTAGACAACTCACCATAATGTAGAATCAGTGGGAACCTTGAGCTTGCTTTGCTGCAGCTAGACGGTTTCATCTGGGGATGATGGGGGATACAGTGACAGATCATCAGGCATTAGATTCTCATAAGGAGCACACAACCTAGAGCACTCACATGCACAGTTCACATAGGATTCACACTCCTGTGAGAATCTAATTCCACCACTGATCTGACAGGAGGCAGAGCTCAGGTAGAAATGCAAGTGATGGGAGTGGCTGTAAATACAAATGAAGCTTCACTTGCTTGCCTACTGCTCACCTCCTGCTGCATGGCCTGAAGGTTAGGGACCCCTGATGTAGAGAATTAGAGACCTTGTTAAGAATCTTATTCTTGAACCTTTGGATTGTGAGAAGTAAATAAAAGGATTTTAAGCAAGTGAGTGATATGAAAAGGTTTAGAGGATGACAAGAGTGGTTGTGGGAGACTGATTAAGCTATTGCAGTGGGCCAAATAATAGATGATGATAGGTTGGTCTAGAGTGGTAGTAGTAAGAATTGAAAAGGGTGGATAGATTTGAGATATGTTTAAGAGGTTTGGTTATTGAATTGGGGGTGGGAATTAAGGAAGTGGGAAGAGGTAAAGCTGCTTCTGGGTTACTGGCTTGGGCAATAGGGTAAATATCATTTGAAAAAGGGTTTACTAGAGGAAGAACTGGTTAGGAGAAAAGGGAAGAGTGTATGAGTGGCTCTGTTGGAGACACGTTCAATAGGAGGCACCAATGAGATATCCATGTCAAGCTGGCAGTTGGATCCTGGGAGAGAGACACATGGACTGCAGAGATGTATTAGTAAACACTGGCAAAGGACTGTATAGATCAAATTGTCTAGGGTAATAATTCCCAAAATTTAGAGTAGATGGAATTGCCTGGAAGGCTTAACACAGATTTCTAGACCCTACTCCCAGAGTTTTTTCTTCAGTGGGCCTAGGAATGGAGACCAAGAGTTTGCATTTCTAAGTTCTGACGTGATGCCTATGCTGCTGACTCAGAGACACATTTTTGGAAGAAGATGTAGAACAAGGAGAGACCCAGAACCTAGCATTGAGGATCTCATTTTTAATTGGAATAGGAGGAACCTACAAAGATGACTGACAAAGAAGTAGGAGGGAAAATCATATGTATTAGGTTTACTGATTGAGGCCACGAATGACTCATGAGAGCATTTTCATGGAATAGTGAGACAAAGGCCAAATTGCAAGAATTGCTGTATAAGGAGAAGGAATGAAGAAAAAGAGTACAAAAGTAGATGATTTCTGAGAAAGTTTTCCTATAAAAGAGAAAAGATAGATGTTTGAATATATTTAAATGTCAATGAGAAGATGCCAGTAGAAAGAAAAGGCTGGAAAAAAAAAAAAAAAAAGATATGGGCAATAATCCATAGGCCAAGGTTCAAGAGGGGACAAGAAAAGATAGGATCCAGATCCAGGTGACATTGCATGGAGAGCCACCTTCTCCTTTTTTATCGGATGTGAAAGAGTTTGAAAGGATGAGTGCAAGTAAGTTTGTAGATGTGCTGGAAGGAAGTTGACTTAATTCCTCTCTGACAGCCTTTATTCTTTGTGA